GCTCCCACACTCAACACAGGGATCAGATTTTTAGCTCTTAAACTTCCGTCTTCTCATGACAGGTGGCACAATCCTAGGACCAAACACCCAATTGCAGGCCTCTGGCCATTATCGGATACTAGGATCTGTATTGACAACCTGCTCAGATTGTGTCTAAATAGATACCCTGAATCATGAGCTTGGTTTAGAATTTGGAATAATGGTACATCTCCTGCATCCATCAGTTTGTTGTCCTGGGGTCAGTTTTGTACCTAGTTTTGTATTCACATTCCTGTATGCTCATCCCTTGAATAACTAACCTGTTGCCTTCCTCTCAAGCTATTATTCAAATTACTAGCTTGTTCTACCCTAGGGGTCAGTTTGAAGTGTTTTCCCTCACTTTCTTTCACCTGATCTGTTCCACCAATTAAATTTTAAAAATACTGGGGGTGCCAAAAAACAATGTATACAAGTGGACACTTTGGTCAACGTTGCTCAAGCAGTAGTTCGCCGTAATCAGTAGTGTCTGGATGCTGATGGTAACCACTTTGCGCACCTCTTGTAATTGCAGAAGTCAAAGGTGACTTGTATTCATCTTTTGTTATCGGTATATATTGAGTATTACAATTTTAATAGTTTTCCTTTCTTAAAATGTGTATTTTTTTGGCACTCTCTGTATGTGTGGAACATTTACTCTATGCCAGTCACCATGGTAGGTGCTGAAAATATTAAGCACGTAGTGACATGACTCTATGATAAGTACTAAGATAGAAAAATAGAGGATGCTTTTGGAGTGCATAGAAGTGGTGCTTAATCTAGACTTCAGGGTCAGGAAAAGTTTCTTGAAGAGCTAAACTGGGATCAGAAGACTGTATAGTATGAATCAGCCCAGGGGGAAGGGATTGAGTTCTCGATAGAGAAAGAGACAAATACAACGTTCCAAAGGCTCAGGTGAGCAGGATGCTGCTGAGAAACTGAAATAAATTTAGTGTCCCTGGAATGTATTATAACATGCAAAAGTGACACATGACAACAGGTAATGTCCAAATTCTGGTTCCACCATATACATCTAACACCATATCTATGCTGCTTCCACAAAGCCAGCACACTCATAATACTAGCAACCTCTCTGCCAGAGCAACTGCCTCCATCACCAAACACACTTTCAACTCCTTATGGTTCCACTTCAAGTCCCTGTGGTCTAGAAGAGGGGCCATCCTTGGAATCAAAGACTCTCCCTCAAGCATTTTTATATTCTCTTCTCTCTCTTCTTCTTGTACCACCCCCACTTTCCTCTTTTCTCTAGCTTTGATCATGCACTTGGGGGTTTTCATCTCTGCTTCCTCTGATCTTTCCTCCCCCACACCTGACCCCCTTTCTGACCTAGATGGCGAGAGAGAGAGAGAGAGAGAGAGAGAGAGAGAGAGAGAGAGAGAGAGAGAGAGAGAGAGAGCGCAAGCCATACAGGGCTGAGGGTGACAGCAACAAATTCAAGGTCATGTGGGAGGCTGTGTCAAATTTAAATGGCAGAAATTTTATACCTATCTTCCCCAAGGAAATTGGAGTGGGAGAGAAATGGATATGATAGAGAAATCTGTTGATTTTTGTCAGGATCCCTTCCTAGTGTTATATCTAGTTTCTTGCGTAACACAATTTACCTTTGAAACATTAAAAAAAAAATGATAGCGATACTTACGAGCGCATACTGTGTGCCAGGCACAGTTCTAAATGTTTTACATGTATTCATTCATTTAATCCTCACAACAATCCTATAAGCTAGCCACCATTATTATCTGCATTCTACAGCTGAGCAAACTGAGGAAGAGAGAAGATAACTCGTCTGAGGGAAATGCGGCTAGCAGTGCCACAATCCATTCTCTAAACAATAGGCAAGTCAGTCAAGCTTGGTTTTAAAATAGATTGCTAACGTGTTTAGGTGACAAAGAGCAGGGACATCCAGAGCGGCGGATCCAGGCCCTTTGTGATGGAGCCCAGAATTGGTGTATACTCTCCTCACTGTCACTATCACAACCTCTGCTGTTCCCCAAGGAAAGTTCACTGGCAACAAAGAGCCTTTTAGACTTTCTTCATTAGAGTTGGTTATGTTAAAACATGCCAGTTTTATGGGGTGTCTATCTGGTTTCATACTCCCTGAGCCCTAGAGAGGCCTGACTAAAGGGCACTTCTGTTACTTTTCTTTATAAAAGTACTATAATACCTTCCTGAGCCAGAAGCTGGTATCTAAGGCAATGTGAAGTGTATTAATTTGTTAGGGCTGCTATAATAAAATACCATAGATTGCGTGGCTTAAACAACAGAAATTTATTTTCTCACAGTTCTGGAGCTTAGAAATCCAAAATTAAGGTGTCAGCAGGTTTGTTAGGGCTTCGATGTAGGAAATGCGGTTGGAGGACAGAATTCAGACCATAAGGTCATCATACAAATGGACTCCTGACCATTCTGATCACCCCCTTTTCTAGGAATCATTTCTGTCATCCACAATGACTGACCCAATTAACTGAATGAGATCTTACCGTCCAACCTGTGTCTTTTTGCTATTTCTGGATAGGTGAAGCCTGCTGGTGGATAGCTCATTATATTTCAACCGGGCCCCAATCTTCATCCAATGAAAAGAATACCAAACTGCCACAAGACCCCACCTCCTTCCTAAAAAGAAGTAAAGCTTTCTACTAGGTGACCCCAGGAAACCTTGGCCCTTCTCAGCCTGTGGGAAGAAATTTGGTGAGAAGCATGACCTGGTTCTGGTCTGAACAATATCAACCACAGTCAACAGTGAAAGCACAAATCCTTTTTCACCCTGTAGGGGTTCTCATTGAATTGGTCTGGAGTGGAACCTGGACACTATTTGTGGACAGTTTCCCATGAGTCACTTGCATTTCTGCACATTTTGCAAGCAGAGCTTATGTTCTAAAATATTTTTTTTTAGGGATGTTTGTATAGTGAGCATCCTTGAAAGATAAAGATGATGTCTCCCTCTAGAGGAGATGGCTAGGTTTGTTTGCTGTCCACTGTCCTAAAGATAACATCTCTCCCTGGGGCAAAGGTTGGGCAGGGTTGTTTATCACTCATTAGAAAAGACTGATGTTTCCTCAGCTCAGGGTTCCTCAGCTGTGACATAGCCCCTGCCTGCACATTGTCCACCTGAATGACTCCACACTGCTTCCTTAGGATTTGCAGGCAAGGAATACTGGTGCAAGCATGAAGGACATTTCTCTGACCTAGGAGTCTCTTGTCTTCTGCCAGCGTCCCTGAAATTATAGCAGGCTAACTTGCTAGTTTGCAAATAGAGTAAAATGTCAGATCCCTCACAGTTCTTTGTGAGTATCAGCATTTTTAAAAGTCCACCAGGGGATTCTATTGGCTGAGAATCATTGTCTTCAAGGAATTGCTACGATTCTGCTTCTGGTTTAATGGCTTTCCAGAGCCTTCTTTCACAGTCTTGCCTAATCATTGTACTAGTTCTCTTCTTGGGTTCCAGTTCCTGATTCTTTGCCTCGTGACTGATTGAGGCAGTCCCTTTGTTTTCCAAGTCTGTTTTTACCAAACTGTCTTTGGTTCCTCTTGGTTCCATGCTCCAGGGACACAGGCCTTCCTCACCTTGTATCTTATTCCCAGTGACTCTGGCCTCCTTCTGATCCCTAACAGGGAAGGGCAATTTTACTCCAAGGATTTAGAATAGAGGATCAAGCTGCTAAACAACAAAGGGTCTGAGCAAAAGGAGAGTTGGATCTTGGTAAAGAGAGAAAAAAGGAGCATTTTATTTATTTATTTATTTATTTATTTATTTATTTATTTAATTTTTTAAGCTGAGCCATCCTGCCACCTATTGGCAGCTCATCGGCAGCTCAGCTCGGGCTGGGAATCTAACTGGCGACCCTGTTGCTCAGAGCTCACATTCTTGAGTGAGCCCTTAACCAATTGAGCCACTTGACCTGCCCAAGAGCATTTTATTGAATCATACGTACTAAGATCCTCACAACTCTTATATCCATTACTGGTGAGTATATTTGAAAACACAAAATAAAGATGGTGTTATTTTCCTCAGCTTGGCATCTCTTGAGCCTCTACAGTTTTTCAATTACGGTCCAATATATTTTCCATTTTATATTTGATTATCTTGCTATTCCTATCTCTCGGTAGCACCTTGTTTTCATTCATAAATATGAGGATCTACTATGTTCCAGACACTTGAATAGGCAATAGGAAGAGAAGTGCATTAAACATCATCCCAGACCTTAAAAGGGCTCAGCTAATTGAGCAAGATAAATTCATAAACAGAGAAATTATAAGACATCATGGCAGTAGCTGGAATAGACATATCAACAAAGGGTTCTAGTTATTTCTAGTTGTTTCTGACAACTACTGTTTGTCTACTTTAAAAGATGCCTGCAGGAAGTCAGGCAAATAGTTTTCTATAGGGAATAATGACATGTGCAGTGATGTGTATATGTGTTGACAGTTGAAGATCATTTAGTTTCTGGGGGAAAATACTGGCCCCTTCAAAAGGACCATAAAAATGTACACTTAAAAACAACTCATTTATTTCCTAGATAATTCTCATTCTTTTTCCTTCTCTAATCTTTTTTTCAATTATCTTATTTATTACCCTAAGGCACACTAGAGTTCCAGAAGGAAAAACTGTATAAATGGAACAAGGAACGATACACAAATAAAAATGAAGTTCAACTGTAAAATTTCACAAATATAATCTTCCATTTGCACACTGATATTTAAACAATCTATGGTCTTGATCTCTTATTAAACTATAGAAATTCTCAGATATTGAGCGTTGATATTAAATTTCCCTTGCAGAGATAACAGATAAAAAAGGATAAAATATGGTTGAAACATTTAAATTTGGTGTCATGCTTCATGTTGCTTGTTACTGGAATAGGAAAAGCTCTTTAGCAAAACCTGGAGCAATCGAATAACTAGCACCATCATTACACAAGGGTACCTGACATAAGTTATTGAAACACTTAAGAAAAATAGATTCTGACCTGCATATTGCCTCTTGCCTCCAAGGTCAATGACACTATTCTCCTCTCCTCTTTCCAGGAACTGGATTTCCTTCTCGTGCAAAAGCTGTGCAATCTTGACCTGTTGCTGTTTGACCCGGGTCTCAAGCAGGTGCACCTGGGCTCTGAGACGTGCCTGTTCCTGGAGACAGTTCTCGAGAGCCTGCAAAGTAACATGCATCTTGTTTCCATGGAAAATCAATGCTCCTAGTAAGCTGGATAAACTAATGATTCAAATTTGTCCCCAACTCCCAGTTCAGAATGTTTTTCCAACAAGAAAGTAGTTTGAAACGTCTAATGCTATTTGTTATTTGAAGAATAAGAAATTATGGCTTATGCTGAAGTGCTAAAACTAAAAAATGGTATAATATAAAACAATCTGAATGACTAGGCTAAAAACATTAGAATCATTGTCTCATTTGATTCTCATAATGATTCTATAAGGTAGGAATGGGATCAATCCTGATGAGGAAGCTTGCTGAAGAATTCCCAGTGGACAAGAGGAGTCAGAATTTATATCCAGTTCAAGTTTCTGTTCTCAACCTCTACATGATGCTTCATAAGTACTTTCTTAAGAGTAAAATAAATGGGGTTTTGAATGACCTTTTCATATTAATGTTTTAAAAATGTAATTGAATGCTTATAATCTGATAACATACAGCCACCTTTATTAGGGATGCTAGTTTAGGCCCTCATATCCCTGAATATCTAACCCATTTACCTGTTTCTGAAAATTCTACTGAAGTCACTCACTTTAACTTTTTGATTATTTATTGTTTTTCCCTTAATCACTTTAAAAAGGGGTGGGAGGAGCCTGAGTCTTCCAGTGAAGTCATTTATCTTCTCTAAAAAGGCAAATAACCCAAGAATATTGCACATGAGAAGAGCTTATCAGCTCCTTTCTAAAGTGGCATCTGACTGAGCACAGCCCTCCAAAGATAAAGCAAATGGGGTGGTAAATTGGGAAGGACAGTTGCAGAGGTGGGTCTCTTGGGAAGAGGTAGTGAGGCCAAGTAACTTTAATAAAGGCTCTTGAATGCTCCATGTTGGGAGAGTAAATAGGGGTAGTTTTTTTAAAAAAAGGACAAATTTTTGCCATTTTTCAATTTTTACCTTGACATCTCTATTTGCAGACCACATCATGATCTCCTGTGATAAGTGTAAATGTTCACTTCTGAGAAATTATGAATTTTAATGTGTAAGTGCATCACGCTACTTTTATATATATTATTTCCCAAAACAGGCATTTGGTAATAGTCAGATATATTTCCCAATTTATATTTGTGTAACTTCCTGTTCCTACCTTTATGTGCCACCTCATACTCATTCCATAAATACAAAGACGTGCTGTGTTCCTGGCACTCTGCTAGTCAGTCAGAACAGCACAATTAGATATCCAATTTGGGACAAAGATAAGAGGTACACTGCTTTCCCATAAAGGACTATAATATAAATACAGCAATTTAGCCTCAAGGCTGCAAGTCACAAAGCAAAAGAATGGAGAAGTAGTGGTAGAGGCCTCCTCTCTTCTGTCTCCTGGTCCAAGTCACTGAAACTCTCCCAGCTATTTCTCTAAGACTGGCTCTTATTTGCTCTTAGTATTCTCTCCTCATCACTCTTTGATTTATCCTCATTGAATGAGTTATTTGCTCAGGTCCCCAGGTCACAACTGTCTATTGAATGAACAAACAAATACATTTTATGGTGTCTGGAATCCTGTGTTGCTCTCTGACAGTGGGAAATTGGTAGCGATATTGTTAAAAATAGTGGACTAGGCAATTTAAAAATAACTGAAGGGATTACAGACCAAATATATTCAATCTTTATGTGACTGGATATACAATGTTAATAAGCTTATTTAAAACTTAGGAATTTCCTGTCTCCCAGAACTTTGAGCAAATGAGTATTTTCACCTTTTTACTCATGAATGGAGGAAGGCACACATTCATTGTAATTACTTTCAAACAATCTGTTTAGTTTACACTAATAGTGTCAAATACTGGAAAGCCCAAGGTCAATTTTAATGGACAGTTTTAAATTCCTAATATTATGTAACTACCCAAATAACCTCAGGAAATTCAAAATGATTTTACTTATTTGTTGTGAATACTGATTTTTACTTAAAAATTTTTTTAAAGTACAGTGAGGCCTTGGATTGCTAGTAACTTGATTTGCAAGCATTCCACAAGATGAGCAAACATTTCTAATACATTTTTTTTTCAAAGTACTTTTTTTTTTTAGCTGAGCCATCCTGCCACCTGTTGGCAGCTCAGCTCGCAGCTCTGGGGCTGGACTCGAACCGCTGTTGCTCAGAGCCCAAACCTCTGAGCAAGCTCTTAACCAACTGAGCCACTCAGCCGGCCCTTCTAATACATTTTAACGTGGTAAATGAGCGATGTTTTGCAATACGAGTAAGTTTGTTTCTGGAACGAATTATGCTCGCAAACCAAGGTATTAGTACTGTATTTGGTAAATGCCTATTACGTGTCAGGTACTTCCACAAACTTTTTTATTTCTTCCCACTCCTTAGATTTTTCAGTGACAATTTACTATAGGTTTTTCTGCAAAATAAATGAAAAGTCAGGTCAAAGCAAGCATTATAAATTCAACAGTTTTTGTAATGAGCTTACCCAGCTTTCCCTGCCTATTACCAGGATAGTGGTGACAAGCATGAAACTAAACATCTTCGCCATTTTTCCCATTGGAGAACTGCAAGAACAAAAAGAATTTGACACACTTATTTACTGTGAATTTTTGTTTGTTTGTTTGTTTGTTTTTTGTTTTGTTTTGTTTATAGCTGAGCCATCCTGCTACCTGTTGGCAGCTCAGCAGCTGCTCAGCTCGGGCTGGACTTGAACTGCTGTTGCTCAGAGCTCAAACTCTTGAGCGAGCTCTTAACCAACTGAGCCACTCAGCCGGCCCTTTACTGTGAATTTTTCATGAGGTCAGTTAGGTTCAGGCTCAAGGCAATCCAGGAGGTCCGATGCAGTTCCAGGCCCTCTGAGAGTCCCCAAGGATATTCTCCTGGACTTTGCCAGGCTTCCCCCACACAGAATGATGCCCACTGTTACCTTCAATAGAATTGAATCTGTTCGATTGCAAAAAATAAAGGCGAGATTCTGGATCTTTGGGTGGTCCTAATGTGCTGCTTGTACGAAAGTATGGAAAAGGCACAGGCTCTGTAAACTCAAAGACCTGGGTTCCTATTTTGGCTGAGCCGCTTTCAGTGTTGTGTGAGGCCACTTACTATTAATAAAATGCTCCTGATTTGTAAAATGGACATTCTAATTCCTACCTTATAGGATTGTGGCCATTTTGATGTCACCACTTCTCAAGGTTATTTTTAAAACCAATCTCGAAGCTATTAGTCTCGATGAAAAATTTTGCCCATCCTCAAAATAACTTCTGTGTGCTGCCAGTGGTCAATTTTCATAAATTTGGAAGCTAAGGAGTCTAGAAGGACAGAAATATCTGCATAATCTTTAAACACATTTTATACCTATGGTTTCTGCTAAAAAATAAAAAACTGGAATCAACTGAATTGTTATTTGTTAGTCCATTTTTATTCTTATAGAACCTATGACCACTAGGTCCTTTTAATGTGTCTTTTTATCAATTTTTATAATTAGAGAAATGATTCCTAAACTTTGTTTTCTATTAGTTCTCTTGGGAAGCTTAAAAAAAAAATCTCCAAATCCAGGGATTGAATCAAATATCTAAAGATGACAGTCAGGCCTTGGAAATTTTTTAAAGATTCCCAGTTGATTCCAATGTTCAGCAAAGATTGGGAAGCAATAATTGATTTAAGGACTTAACAGACAAAAGGTTTTTTTGTCTTTGTTAATAAAGTAAGTAGTTCTCAGTCTTTCTGTGGCCAACAAAACAGTTACAGAATGGGAGAGGCATTACTTAAATTCAGTGACAAATAGCATGCATGGCCACATTGGGAAGCATTGTAAAATACAATGTGAATTTTTAGAATATGTGAAATTTGTGCATTACAGATTGTAATAGTCTGCTAGATATAACTGTATAATTTTTACTTCACACATTTTTATATAACTACATACCTAGAATTGTGTTATGCATTTTGTAAGCATCTTATTTCATTCTCAAATCACTATACAAGGCAAGTACTATTCTCCTCATCATACAAATGAGTACTAGATCAGAGAGGTTAAGTCACTTCCTAAGATCACACACAAATGGTGTATGGAAATCCAAACATTTGAGCTTTCCACCTTGAAGGCTCATGCCCGCAGCATGTACTCTACATGGTCTTTTGTCCCACGTACCTATATCCCTGCCATCTATTTGGCCCTCTCCACTGAATATCACTCACTCCTGAACATGGCTGTGGCTTATTTGTTCTTGAGTCACATGCTTCTCCAAAGGAACATTAGGTTAACTTGGCAGGAGAGGGGAGAGCTGCATTAAAGCAGAAGCAATCCTAGGGAATGGTAGCATCGGCATGCGTTTACTGATTATCAGCTACCTGCTCAGCACTATGCTAAACACTGTGAGAGAATAAAACATGGCTTCCTCAGAAAGTCAATGTTTTGAGGAAGAAATGAAAATAAATATTAAAATGGAAATTAAAGACAATGTAAATTAAGTATACATGACATCATGTGTAATCAAATATAAAATCTAAACTCTCCCAGACCACCCCTAAAGACAAAATTACTTCCTCCACTGTGATCCTATGCTATATTTATAGACAAATACAGCATTTATTCACTTAATAAACTGTGTGTTTCCCTGCTGTGTTCTAGGCACTGCGCCAGGTGATGGAATTATCATTTAGTCAGTTTTTTACGTGTCTTACTTCAACTGCTTTCTTTTATTGATGCTACTTTTGCTTAGAAGAAGCTTTTTAAAGGCAAAAGCCACACCTTACTAATTGCTGTATCCCCAACATTTAACTTACTATGGCGACTCTGATAAAAGTTTAGCTGTTGCCTCTGCAGAAAATATTCCCCAGGAGGGAAAATCTTTCCCAGAGAGGAAACTTTCATTTCCTCCCCATAAAACTACAGTCTGTTTATAGTGACATATTTCCTCCTCTATGCTTATTCTGGTCAAGGGGAAAACAATGGGCTAAGTGCATTTTTTTAAATAAGTGTTAGAAAGTTAGGGATTTTGGGTTGGATTAAACACATAAATTTTTTTCTCATAAAACCCCACTCTAGGGCCCCCTTAGGTCTCCTGAGTATCTTTCCTTAGTGTCTAGTTGTTCCTTTCTTAATATGTTAAGTTGAAGTATCAGAAATGGCATAAGTTTGAACATTTTTGATCTACAAAATTGGCAATTTCATATGATTCAAATTAATACATATTGGTTAGATGGAAAGAACACATTTGAAATCATTGTAGTCTTTTATATTAAAATGAGTGCAAAAAGACATAGGTTAAAAATAAAATATCTGTAGCTTATTTAATAAGAGAGAAAACAATTTAGTAACAACCTATTTTTATATGAATGCTGCTTCCAAGTTAATACACTAATTTAATATGCCAATTAAAATATGTAAACAAAACTTGCTAACACATAGTCAACATGTGGAATCTTGTGGTTCTGCTATAAGTAAATCCTCAGGATGTCTTTAAAAGAGAAATTACAATATTCACTTTTAACTAAAGGAAAAAGTAGAAAAGCAAAGTAACTTTTCCATGAAAGGCTCTACATTCAAAATTCATGCAACATCCAACCACCTCTGAACTACCTCTATCTACCATTTGGTCCAATCCACCACTGCGAGATTTCCGTGATCCAAACCAGAACATTTTGACAATAACACTGGGACAACAGTCCAAACTGAGCCTTACCTGGGCAGATCGGGATATATGGTCCCCTACCTAGAAGGCTTTACATACCCTGCAAAATCCCACTGCCTCACACCTCCTTTCCCTCCCTATCCCTAGTTCTCTTTTCTCTAGCCACAATGGCCGCCTCAGTATTCTTGAACACAACAAAATACATTTACTTCTCAGGGGAATTGCATTTGCTGCTCCCCCTACCTGGAATGCTTTTCTTTTGAAAATCCCCATGGTTTTGCTCCCTTATAGCCTTCAGGTCTGTTCAAATGGCATCTTCCCAGAGACACTTTCCTTGTCTACCATATGTAAAATAGCAACCATCTCCCCCACCCCCATACATTCCATATGCCTATTACAATGGACTAATTATGACTGTGCTATATATTCATAATATATGTAAAATTTAATGAAACATTATATATGTATCTATTGTCTGCTACTGATCCAACTCTTCAGTTACTTATTTTCTTTGGGGATTTTATAAATCCAAATATCTCTTTAAAACTACTATAAGCTCTCACATATCACAATGTACTATTATGGTCATTTTTTATTTTATTTTAAAATTTATCATAGAGTTCAAGTAGTAAAAAGTAAAGAAGAAATACCCCTCCAGATAATGGATATTCCCAAAAATGTAATCAATTAAATAGTCATAAAGATATAATCATAAAGTGTTTTAATATCACAGAAATTAAGAAGAATATTTATTATAAGCAAACAAAAAAAAGTAAAGATAGAAAATACAAAATGCTCTTTAAAAACATAAGAAGGGATTTTAGAAGTAGAAAGTGTTATCCCATGAGGATAGAACACAGAGTCAAAATATAAATAAAGGAAATGAGATTGTCCAAATATAGTCAACACTTGAGTAAACAAGGCTCAAAGAGGGAAAATTATTTCCCTAAGAAATAAAACAGATTTTCACTAAGTACATATACATTAATCTGGGAAATTAGTATAAAATTTTGATATAACATTATTTATGTGACTGATTCAAATTGCTCCTCTAATTAAAAAGAACCAATATAGGGCCAGCCGACTGGCGCATTGGGTAAGAGTTGGCTTGGGACGCCAGCTCTGAGCAGCAGAGCCCGGGTTCAGATCCCACATTAGGGCCTGCACCCTCTACAGCTAAGATGGTGAACAACAGCTGGACCTGGAGCTGGGCTGCCATGAGTCGCTGGCGATGGCATAGGCTGCAGTGAAGTTGCAGTGGGCTGCCATAAGCTACTGTGAGTGGCTGGCAGCCAGCATGAGTGACCGGCAGCCAGCGTAAGCTGCCAAGAGCTGCCATGAGTGGCTATCCAGAGGCCGGCGACTGATCTGCCTCACCCGGGAAGAGGGCAATGATACAACCAACATGGGCCAGTGATGCGACATCCTCCACAACTAGACTGAAGAACAAAAGGACAGCAACTTGTCTGTTCCCCTTCCCCGATTCTCCAACGCTGTTCCCCTCCCCCAATTCCCCATAAAATCTTTAAAAAAGAAAAGAAAAAGAAAAAAAGAACCAATATATTTTAATGGATTATTGATTGGGATTTCTCCTTTTTCTTCCCAGTAGTAAAAATAATGTCATTTTTCTAATGTGATATAACCAGATCTTTATAATTTTAATCTATATAATTTTAATCTGGAAAGCTATCAGATAAAATATTCCAGAGTGAAGAATTTAAAGTCATGAAACTTTTGTGTGTTCCAGATTTTGCCTTAATGTTGTCCATTGAAATTAGTATATTTTTGTTTGGTTTATCAAGTTCCCTTATCTATTTGTAGGATCAGGTACTTTATTTTAGAAATGAATAAATTAGCTTAAAAACTTATAGAGCTTTTTAAAAATTGTGCTTTTGTCTGTTTCTGGTTCTTGCATAAGTGACAATGTGTGTTGAACGTGCTCTGGGAGAAACCTCCAAGCCTAGAACAAGTGGCAACCATTTGAAGATCACTTTGCAGCTCATACCAAGTGGCCCTGGGTAGGGCACAGGCAGCAGCTGACCTTGGCCTGAAACAGGGCCCTTCCCAAGAGGCCCAGAACCAGCACACCTGGAGGCTAGCACCAGACTACAGCAGAGCACCACCCAACCACCTCCACAAACAACACACCCATTGGGCAGAGAGTGCAGGCACCAGAGCCCTGCTAAAGTGAATCCTAGGGTCAGCCTCTGCATGACAACTCCTCCATTTTAGTCACAGCCAGTCCTCACAGCCAATCAGCCTGAGGGTCAATCCCTCCCATTGACATGTAAACAGCAATCAAGGCTCAACTACAACAGGAGGGCACACACAACTCACACAGGGACACACCTGGAGCACCTGACTCAAGTGACCACAGAGACTGCGCCACTGGGCCCACAGCACACCTACTACATAAGGCCACTCTACTAAGACTGGTAAACATAGCAGCCCTATCTAATACATAGAAACTAGCACAGGGAGGCAGCCAAAAGAGGAGACAAGAAACATGTCCCAAATAAAAGAACAGAACAAAGTTGCAGAAAAATAACTAAATAAAATGGAGACAACAATCTACCAGATGCAGAGTTCTAAACACTGGTTATAAGGATGCCTAATGATTTCAGGAAGAACTTCAACAAAGAGATAAGAAACATAAAAATGGAGATAGAAAACATAAAGAAGAACCAGTCAGAAATGAAGAATACACTAATTGAAATAAAGAATACATTAGAGGGAATCAACAGATTACATGAAGCAGAGGATCAAATCAATGATTTGGAAATTAAGGTAGCAGAAAACACCCAATCAAAACAGCAAAAAGAATAAAAATTAAAAAAAGAGGATAGTTTAAGGGGTTTTTGCAACAACATCAAGCACACCAACATTCACTTCATAGGGGTACCAGAAGGAGAAGAGCGAGAGCAAGGAATTGAAAACCTATTTGAAGAAATCATGACTGAAAACTTCCCTAACCTGGCAAAGGAAATAGACATACAAAGCCCAAAAAGAGTAGAGTCTCAAACAAGATGAACCCAAGGAGGCCCACACAAAGACACATTTATAATTAACTTGCCAAAGGTTAAAGATGAAGTGAGATTATTAAAAGCAGCAAATGAAAAACAGTTAGTTACCTACAAGGGAGCTTCCATAAGACCATCAGCTGATTTACCAACAGAAATTTTGCAGGCAAGAAGGGAGTGGCAGGAAATATTCAAAGTGATGAAAAGAAAAGACCTACAAGCAAGATTACTCTATCCAGCAAGGCTATCATTTAGAACAGCAGTTCTCAACCTTCCTAATGCCGTGACCCCTTAATACAGTTCCTCATGTTGTGGTGACCCCCAACCATAAAATTATTTTCATTGCTACTCTATAACTGTAATTTTGCTACTGTTATGAATTGTAATGTAAATATCTTTTTGTTTTCCGATGGTCTTAGGCGACCCCTGTGAAAGGGTTGTTTGACCCTCAAAGGGGTCGCGACCCACAGGTTGAGAACCACTGATTTAGAATGAAAGGAGAAATCAAGAGCTTCCACCGACTATGAAGTGGTCTCCCTAACAAGACATGAGTCCATCTGGCCCCCTAAAAAATATTTACAACATTATTGATTATATTCCCCAGACTGTCTTTTCGGCCATATTGTAGTGGAGTGGGCTTGTAATGGGAGGAAACAGGAGTTATAGTGGGAAAGTGGAAAATAAAATTAACACTTTTATACTTAAAAAAAAAGGGAATCAACTCACCAAACTGTATACATTAAATATGTTCAGTTTTCTTGGTATATCAATTATACATACCTTAATAAAGCTATTTAAAAAAAAAAAAAGCTTCCAGGCAAGAAAAAGCTAAAGGAACTCATTACCACCAAGTCAGTATTATAGTAAATGTTAGAGGGATGTCGTTAAGAAGAACAAACAAACAAGAGAAGATAAGAAATATGAATAATAAAATGGTAGTAACTAGGTACCTATCATAATCACTTTAAATGTAAATGGATTAAATGTTCCAATCAAAAGACACAGGGTGACTGAATGGATAAGAAAACAAGACTCGTACATAAGCTGCCTACAAGAAACTCACTTCAGATTGAAAAATACACATAGACTGAGTGTCAAGAGATAGAAAAAGGTATTTCATGAAAATGAAAACAAACAAAAACAGCTGGGGTTGCAATATTTATACCAGACAGAACAGACTGTCAAAGAAAGGCTATAACAAGAGACAAAGAAGGACCCAGTAATAGTACTTCTGGATATTTACCCAAAGAAACCCAAAACACTACTTCAAAGGGACCTGTGTATCCATATGTTCATTGCAGCATTACTTATAATAGTCAAGATGTGCATGGAGGCAACCTGGGTGTCCATCATGGATGAATGGATAAAGAAGATGTGGTACATACAATAGAATATTACTCAGCCTTAAAAAAGAATGAAATATTGCCATCTGCAACAACATGGATGAACCTACAGGGTACTATGCTGAGTAGAGTAAGTCAGACAGGAAAAGACAAATACCATATGATTTCATTTATATGTGGAATTTAAAGAACAAGTTAAATGAACAAACAGAACAGAAACAAAGTCATAGATATAGAGAGCATTGATGGTTGCCAGATGGGAGGGAGTTAGGGGGATGAGTGAAAAAGGGGAAGGGATTAAGAAGTACAAATTGATAGTTACAAAATATTCATGAGGAAGTATAGCATAAGGAATAGAGACAATGATATTGAAATAACTATGTATAGTGTCTGATGGGTACTAGATTTATCGTGGTGATCACTTTGTAAGTTATATTAATGTCTAATCACTATGTTGTACACCTGAACTAATATAATATTGTATGTCAACTGTGATTGAAAAATAAAAAAAACATTATTTTAAGAAAATGCTCTGGGAGATGCTGGGAAATTATATAACATATATACATATAGTTCTATATTAGATTTGCTATAAAATAAAGGGCCAGAGAAATGCTTTGACAAGTCTCTGAAATCTCCAACTCATTGCCATTAAAATAATCAAATCTGATCTTTCCCAGAGAAAGAAGGCAGCTTCTAGTCTGGCAGATCTTTAAACAATAAAGCTTTTCAAAATGCCATTATATATATTTTAAAAGTCGTTATATTAATTTGACCAAATTTAGAATAATTGCTGCAAATATCTTATGTTCTCTAAAATTCCCCAGTGCCCTCATTTGTAATTCTAACCATCTTCTACCTTACTGAAGAAATGTTTAGGGTTTAAGAAATTCGCTTTGAAAATCTGGTCTCCATCATTCATCAGAGTAAACTATTATTCTTCTGCAAATCTGGCTTGTGGTAAAGTTATATCAGATTATTTAGTTCCCCACTATACAACTAGCTGTATATCTTTTACAATGTTTTTGCTTTGGGCTGTTTCAAAACTTTTAGTTATTATAAAATTAAAATAGCTTTCCAATGGCTATTCTTTGATATCCCATATTATTTTATATAAATTATTCTACAAAATCTAATTGCTTCCCCCACTAAATTTTTTTTAAGTCAGTTGATTATAGTGAAGTAAATTTAAAGGCAAAAATATTAAGTATGGAACTTGAAAAATTCTACAGCTGACAGGTAAGTTTTAAAAACAAGTATGAAACAACAGTACATTAGTGGCAAGTAAAATTTCAAAAATAGTATGTGTTATGTGAGCTACCATGAAAGAATATGATATAAAATAAATTAAAAAGGAAGAAAAAGTTATTGAAGAAAGCATGTTTAATAAGTTAGCATTCACAAATGGACTACACCCTTAACATAAGAGTTAGTTAAAAATTTACCCAGGAACACAGAGTTAAAGACTCTTTTTATGCTATTTTCTACCAACTTTTTTTCTTTTTCTGAAAATGGAAAAGAGCAATATCTTTGTTATTTATCTTAAGAATTTATACTCAAGGAGAGCCTGGAAAAGCTAAATAAGTCTGATTCCCAAAGAGAGAAATAAAAAATATTTCTGAAGTTTTTACTTCTGAAACGAAAATTATCATCACATGGTCTATTTTAGTTTCCGTTTTCTATAGTGAAGCTGCAAATCCTATTATTTACATCAAATTTCCATCCAATTCATTCAAAATGTACAGGTAACAGAAAGGAGGTATAATTCTAAATCTCTTTTCCAAGCTGCAGAAGTAGCCTTCTCTCTAATCAACATGATCTCTCTCGATAGCTGACGATCGTTTCGTGAGTTCTGCTGAATATCATACCTATGAAATAAATTAGCATTATTACAATTATGTCAAAAGTGCAGAGACGTTAAATACCTTGCCTAAAGTCAGAAAAGAGTCAGAGACAGAGCTCAGGCTGGGTCCAGCCACTCGGCCTGCCAGGATCCTCTAACTGCACTCAGAGTTTGTAATCGTTTTCCCACTATTTGATTAGAAATAGGGACAATGTTGATTCTGGCTTTAATACAGAAACAAATATGTGAGGAAATCAGTTTAACTGGAAGGAAAACTAAAAGAGGAGATTCAAGGACAAATCTCAATACTCTGATATTTTTTGTCTCCTATTTTCATGAATTTATATGAAAGATCCAATAATACTTGTAATCTTTAGAAAAATACATCTCTGATTTTTAACTTCTTACTGTGCTCATTCAGATAATTTTTCTACTTTAACTTCAGACATGCTCACTTAAAAATTAACTAAAACCAAAGTTCAGTTGAAGTTTTGCTTTATAGTACTAACGATAATACAATTTTACCTATAAAGATATGAATTAAGATGTCATTTCAACTACAATATGGAGAGAAGCCAAATTTTTGTAGTTATAAAAAACGGGGCCAGTTAATAATTGTCCAGATAAAACAGTTTATTTGATCTTTAAGAAAAGCAAAAGGATTCCCTGAGGTGCAAAATTGTGAAATGTATCTATAAGCATCAATTATCCTCTGAACGAATTGTTCCTTTTGTTTTAAACCCTAGAGGATTTTTTAATGTGTAAGAGACAACTTGTTATCTCCATTCATCACATTGCATAATAGTTTCTGACTGCAGATCCAGGTTCATCATTTCATTTTCTATTCTGATGTAACTCAAGCTGTTGTTTGCTATTTGTTCTGTGATTCCTATTTCTTAACTCAGATTCCAGTAAAACACTGACGTTGTTTTCTTTCTGTTCTTTGTTTTTTTCTGGGCTCAAGTATTGCTGGTGTTTGGCCTTCCCATTAAACATTTTTCTGTCATTCACTCAGAATATTTGAAGTTTATTGAGGAAAAGGTAATCCTGATGATTTATTGGAAAGAAAAAGTCAGTTAGGTTGAAGTGATTTACACCCACGGGAGCAGTGGTAATTATACATTCATAATCTTAGTGGATTCAAAGCTGCTGACATTAAATTTCAAAAGCAAAGGTAGGGCCGGCCAAGTGGCATGTTGGTTAAGAACTGGCTTGGAACGCCAGAGGGCCCCGGTTTGGATCCCACATATGAGGGCCAGTGACGCTGCCCTCTACACCTAAGATGCTGAATAACAGCTCAACCTGGAGCTGGGCTGCCTTGAGTCGCTGGCGATGGCGTAGGCTGCAGCCCCTGCTGCAGTGGGTTGCCATGGGCTACCATGTGTAGCCAGCAGCCAGTGTGAGCGGTCCTCAAGCCGTCGTGAGTGACCATCCAGAAGCCTGCGACTGATCTGCCTCGCCCGGGAAGAGCTCAATGATGTTGCCAACTTGGGCCAGTGAAGCAACATCCTCCACAACTAGACTGAAGAACAAAAAAAGACAGCAACCTGTCTGTCCCCCTTCCCCCAATCCCCAATAAAAATCTTTAAAAACAAACAAACAAAGGTATGGGGTTACTTGGCTGATTTGATAATTACCTCTGTGGTAAAATGAAATATTCTGAAATACAAATCTATTTTTTCCTCCTTGTATCCCTTTCATCTTCTACCTATTCAAGCATTTAATAAGTGCTGTGCTTACTTCTTCAGGAAGGTCAATAATAACAATAATAGTAGCTAACACGTGACACATATGATAAACATATTAAATGATTCAGCCACAACAGCACTATGAGCAGGTCTTGCTAGTATCTCCATTTCCCAAATGAGGAAACTGAGACACAGAGGTTTAAGTAACTTTCCCAAGGTCACTCAGCTAGCAAGAAAGAGGTGACCAGGAGTCAAAGGCAGACCAGCTCAGAATCAGTGCTCTCCAACATTAAAGATAAACAGTGCTGTCTGTCAAGGACTTAGCCAGGGCCACTGCCTTATGAGAAACCTGGAGAAAGCTAATGAGACAAAGGACAGAATCAAGGTCAATGTTCCGGGAAGGCTTGCCAGAGACTGAACTTGCTGGGAAGAACATTCTTCCTTTAGTCCATGAACTGTCAGAACATGGTGGAAGAAGTGTCATCCAAATTCGTGACCTCATACAATTGTACCAAAGCTATGAAACAAGAATGAGATCTGAGCTCACCGGCTGAAAGAAGCACTCGTATGAGAAAAGAATGATATAAGAGGAGCAGGTTGGATCCAGTGTTTGAGGAGATGGCCAGAAACAGAAGGACTGGGATGCATAATTTAAGGCACACCTTGAACAGAATAGTGAGCTTATTAAGGCTTGCATCTTATATTAGCTTGTCTAGAAGTTGGATTTTATGTACTTTCCCTATAAATGATTAGTTTCTGGGGAATTAACTTACACTTAATAGTTTCTCAAGGGATATATAAAACAGAAAAGCTAACACATTAATTTAGAAAAAGAGAATTACTTGATAAGCTAACCCATTTAGTTATTTGCCAGAAGACTTCCTCATCATGGGCAAAATCAGCCTGGAGAGTAAGTCAAGTCAAAGGAGTTTTGGTGAACAAAGAACATGAATAAAGGGTATTTGATGGTCTTAGAGGCTTTTTTTTTTCAAATTAAAGTAATTAAATATACTTTTCTCTGGCCCGGGAATATTTCCATTGGACAACAGGTTCAGTTGTACCAAGATCAGGTCACTCTGGCTCCCAGACAGGATTAGATGAGCACTGACAAGTTCTTTTCTTCCTCTTTTGGAAGACCTTATTCATAGGCCTCTCTCAATTAATACATCAGTTATAGCACAATTGCCATTCAAACCCTCTGGACTCTGTATTGTGTCTGCTGGATTGAACACCTGCCGATTACCTGATATCTGACCCAGTCCCAGTGGGCAGGTTTAATTCCAGGTCTCTCCACCTCCAGTACACTCAAGCTGCAGCAGTGAACATGTCTGTTCTCAACCCTGTCACGAACTAGACTCAGACAACTGATCTTATATCCTATAGTAGTGTATTCTACCAGCATATATTTCTGATGGTTACATTTACTTACCCTGACTCCCAATTACAAGACTTATAAAATCCTGTACTGTGAATACAATGATATTTTAAACTTAAAATGTGCCTTTTATTAAAATATTTAGAAAGAAGCATATTGTAAGTCTCAAGAAAGAGTTCATTAAGAATAATCTTCATTCCAGGCAACAGATCCTCCTCAGGTAGAGGTAATAAAACTCCTTTCTGAAGTGTTGGTTTGGATATTATCTCAGGCAAAGTCCTGAAAAAAAAAAGTCCTTGATCATGTCTTACCCCTAATTTCTGTCTTTCTTCATAAGGAAAAGACATTTGTAGCTCCCCAGCTAATAAAGTAATAAGCACTAGTGATACAGCTATGCGCACAATACAGAGAACCATTTATAGGATTATGCAGAGAAATTTTGCTTTTTATTGCCACAAAGTTTCTATTTCAGAATATAACCTGAGCTGTACTTTCGTATCATAAAAGCTCATTAAAGTGTCACCCACCATGAAAAAGTAAAGTTTTTCCCAAAGATAAATTTGGTCCTGCCCCTAGCTAAACAGAAAACTGTTGCAAAAATCTTCTTGTTAAATATGGTAGGTTGACCACACATTTTTATCTGTGCTCCCTCCCCCAATTCCTTTCATATGACAGCAAATAAATAGAAAGGCATAAACCTACAATGTCAAAGCAAACAGGAATGACACATAAGGAGATAAAAGATAATAACAACTTATTAGAAAACTTTCTGCAGAAACCACAAAATTCAAGGGTGACTGTCATGGCTGAAAATAGGGGGAATGGTGAAATCATATATAAAGTGTAGTTGTACCCTACAGCCCCTTCCCCACCCTATGTAACTCCTACCCTCCTTATTCATATACCAACTACCCCTTGCCTATTTTTTATTCCTAAGATAATTTGATCTGGAAAGTATTTTCATTTGGGGGTACCAAGACTATTGGAAGGTAGGCGTCACAAACAGAGAAATTAAGTGAAAATATGCACAGAAAGAATGTAACAGACACCTCTTTCAACCAGATTGCTATCAGGCAGGCTTATATTTCCTGGCAGGAGACAAGGATTCTCCTTGGAAGAAATGGAATGGCCCATAGAAAAAAATTTAATAATACTAAAATATAGTGGTTCCTCCACACATATGCCAGCTCACCACTTAATCCTATTGAAGTTTACCAATCCACAAGAAAGAGAGACAACCCAAATAAACAAAATCAGAAAGAAGGGAGAAGTGACAACCAACACCGCAGAAATACAAAATATTTTAAAAAATACTATGAGTAATTGTACACCAACAAATTGGACAATCTGGAAGAAATGGATAAATTCTTACAAGAATGCAATCTTCTAAGGCTGAATTAAGAAGAAATAGTAAATCTAAACTGCACAATTACTACTAATGCAATTGAAACAATAATCAACAAGCTTCCAACAAACAAAAGTCCTGGATCAGACGGCTTCACAGGTGAATTTTACCAAACATTCAAAAAAGAATTAATAAATATTCTTCTCAAACTGTTCCAAAAAATTGAAGAGGAGGGCAGTTTCCCAAGCTCATTCTATAAGGCCACAATTATGCTGATTCCAAAGCTAGACAAATACATAACAAAAAAAGAAAACTATAGGTTAAAATCTTTGATGAACAGAGATGCAAACATTTCTCAACAAAATATTTATTTATCAAACCGAATTCAGCAACACATTAAAAAGATCAGGCACTGTAATCACATAGGATTTATTCCTGGTATGGTTGGTTCGGTATCCACAAATCAATCAATGTGATATACAACATAACCAAAATGAAAAATAAAAATCATACAATCATTTCAATAGATGCAAAAAAGGCTGTTTGACAAAATCCAGCATCCACTTATGATAAAAACTCTCAGCAAAGTGGGAATAGAGGGAACATATCTCACCGACATAAAGGCCATATATGACAAACCCACAGCTAACATCATACATAATGGGGGAAAGCTAAAAGCAGTCTCCTTAAGATCAGGAATAAGACAAGGATGCCCATTTTCATCACTTTTGTTCAATATCGTACTACAAGTCCTAGCCACAGCAATCAGACAAGGAAAAGA